GGTGTTGGGTGTGGAGTGTTGTGCAAAAGCATCAGGATTTCAGAGCTGGATCGCTACTCCAACTAGGTTGTTTGGTTGTGGGCCTGGATCTGGGGAAAGTGACTTTACTACTGATATAAGTGAAAAATGAAAGAACATGCTACAACAAAATATGGGGTTCTTGGTGCTCTCTGAACTTGGTGGTTGACGGTGTTATCTACTTTGGTAATAAAACATCTGCAAGAAAGCCACTAAGCTTAGAGAGTGCCAAGGACCTCACAATTCAACCTTGAGCTACAAATATTCTCTTCTATTGGTACAACAAAATGTTTCAGTATATTTCAATTTCTTCAAAGCAAATTTCAGCCAGGCTGCTATCTATCTTTCTTTCTCTCTTGGGCAAAACATTTCTACCATTTGTTCTGAAGTGTTCCAAAACCTTGGATTCTAAGATACCCAGCACTCTTGGTGGAAATGAAGGAGTCACCATGTCTGCAGTGCTGTTTCTGCTTCCTGGAAACTAATAGGGGGGAAAACTTCCAAAGCTGATGTAGATTCCAGACTAGTTTGTGGGCATGTTGGGGAGTTGAGAGAATTTAGAATCCATCAGAATCATTGTTCCTCTGGCATGACTCCCTCCCTAAACTCTTCCATGTCTCCTTTTCTCTCTGCTTGATTCTTGGCATGGGCAGCCTCAAAAAAGGGTTTCTGACATCATATTTCCCCATTTGAGGACAGAAGATCTGTAACCCTAGAGGAAAAAAATAGGAACAATCCTATAGTCTCTTGGAAATAAATCATCTCATGAACCGCAAGACTGCAGTCAGCATTTCTCATTTTTTTTCTGATGGACCCACATCATACTGTCTCTATTAAATGTTAATAAATGTATTTATTGTTGATTGACCTAAATAGTTAGATCTTTTTGTCTGCATGTTGGATGTGTAGGATATTTCAGTGGAAAATACTGAGTATGTAGTTCCACTTTGAAATATCATATGCTGTAGATGAACTCAGTTTGTGATGAATCTATTTATTAGATGGAGATGTATATGCAATTTTATGATTCATGTCTTGGTCATACAGCATTATAATTTACTAATGACTCTATGAGCAAGTCATGATCTGCTGCCTTTGCTTCTCCCATTTGGGAGAATGATTAGATAAATCTGAATCAGCTGCCTACCTTATTATCTGAATCTGAAATCCTACTTTATTCCTCTCCAACAACTGGGGATCTGTACAACAAGATTACAAGATTTGTAAGCCCCACAGAGTCAGAAAGTATGCAGGTTTAATACATTATTAATCAGCAGATTAATATTTTCTTTCCCACTTTCCACTTTTTTTCCATGTGAATTTGATATGAGGAATTGGTAACATAATTCTCTAGAGTTTGCTGTAGCTTTCCTTTTTTTTCCTGTTTAATAGACTCAATGTTATCTTGGGTACTAAAGAGTTCCACTATTATTTTCTTAAGAGTCCATCCACTTCATATGGATATAATAAAAGTGAATTCTCTGTTGCCTTGCTTTGTTATTGTTATTAAGAAAACATCATTTGTGAACATTTGCCTCATTAGCATTTGTGAATTGAACACTCATAGACTGTATACTAATAGATATTTTTTTTAAAAAATGGGATAATTGCTTTAAACTCTTTGTCCAGATGAGCTACATTGTCTTCAAAATGTATTGAGATCCTTGATGTCTACAGATATCAAGATTTATTTATTGAGACCATTTCCTGTTTATCTATTAGAGAGAAGGGTTGGTTTCCAGTTTATTTTTGAAATAGAAGGTAGAAATATTCTTATGGCCTGTCAAATCTCTAAGCAGACAATTTTATATAGAAATGTGGTAGTGTTTGGTCAGTTGCTTAGGGATCTGTCTAAATAACATCTTGGTTGTGTTAAGTTCAGTTTTGTGGTTTTCCAATTTAGGGCGACTAGATCATACTCAGTAATATGTTTTAATAGTTAGAAAAAAATATTGAATGTATAATGCCTTTAGCATTTAAAAAGTTTTAAAATTCCTATAATTAATTGGGATAGCTTCATATTTATTTATTTTGTTTAGTTATCGAATCACAGAGTTATTTGATAAATTGGTATGAAGTTTTTGGCTTTAAATACTGTAGGGTTGATTTGTTATTACTGGTGTTTTTAATTCATTTCTATTGTTCCTGTTAGAATTTAAATTGAATTGTGCATAGTACAATAAGGCAACCTCTATCTAGGCAGTATACTGGATCTGATAAAGAATGAAAGTTTTGAGTTAGGGATGCATAAATACTTTCAGGTCCAACAGCCCCAGAAAACACTGAGTATCTATTCCATTTCCCCCCTCTTTTGCACGTTTTTTTGTGTTAAGACAAAAATGTATGTAAATATGGGGAAAACAAAGAAGCATTATATTTGAATCTCTCTTCTTGTTTGAGGCAAGGAAGGAACACAATAAAACCCTGATCTGAGGTAAGTGACTTTAGCCTAATTGTATATTGATATGTTCATCAACATTATTTTGGATTTTCTTCATAACTACTCACTCCATACATTCAGTCAGTCAGTGTGTACTGAGGGGTTTTTTTAAGTTTTCACATTAAAAAACAAGCCCATTGTATACGTAGCTGCTTGCTTATAGTACTATCCCAGGGGACAATACCATTGCAGACATGAAAGGGCTATGTTCTATGTTTTAGCACAAGCTATTCTTTGGCTTTTCACTGGCATTTTAAAAATGTATATGACATTAAACAGTGCAGATCAAAGCAATGCTTCTATTTCAAAAGCAGTATTTCCATCTCATTGTCTCCCCACTACCACCACCATTCCTTGTAGAAATTTAGTGGTTAAATTATCTGATTCTATATCTAGGTCCAAGCATGAGCTGTGTGTTGGGGGTGGTCAGTTACCCAGGACTCAGAAATCTAGATTGCCTCAGCCCCAGGCTCAGACATATTATATGATGAACAAGAAATGAGGCTAGATTGTATGTCATTCTTAAGGCTGTTTATGAAAATTTATTATACTATATCTATACCTCAATTGTCCAAAACTGGTGAGATTTCCTGGAGCCAAACAAAACAGCAGTGTTATAGCAGAAGAACACATATTCTGTACAGTGAGTTTTTGGCCCAGGGGCTTCTATTTAACAAACCTGCTCTTTTAAGAACTACCATTCCTTGTTTGTAAGCAATAAGAAGAGAAAACATGAAGAGAGAAAAAAAAATCAAGCCAATTGTGAGGGACATCAACTCCAAGAACAGAAGATCTGGAGCTAACAAAAATAAATAAATAAATATGGATATATTTCAAAGGAGAAAATCTCCCATTTTGTCTGAGATACACATTTAAGATATTGTGTAGAGTATTAATGGGTAAGATTGCTTTTTGGAGTAAAAGACCTCACATAAAAAAAGTTGTATCTGCAAGTTTCTTGGAATGCTTGGGCCAGGCTAAAATGTTATGTAAAGAGTGAACAAAGAATTCCCAACTCAAGATAGCCCAGAATCTGTTGTTTTGAAAAGGTGTGAGAAAAGAACTTATTATTTAAACCTGGTGCTGATGTGGGGATGTAGGATGGAGATTTATGTTCTGCAGCAGGAAGATCTTTTGTATAAACATGAGTAATTTCTTGTCTATGTCAAAAACCTGAGTTTGTAAAACTTTTGTTCATTTTTTTTGTATTTATCCTCATACTTAGCAAAACTTGTTTAAACTTTCATTGGCATTAGAACAGGGGTCTCCAGCCTATCGGCCACCAGGCCACAGGAGTGACTGCTGGGTGCTAGTACTCACAATGCGTGTGAGTACTAGCATTGCTGCCATGCGTGCACCTGTTTGCTCATGTGCATGAGTGCAAGCACATTTCCCTGCTCCTCCCTTTCCCTCCAGGCCACCAACCTGGAAAGGTTGGGGGCTCTGCATTAGAAGATAAAAATGTAGGCAAAGTTGCATTATCATTTGTATATGTATTTTACCAGTCCTCTGGCTGATTTTATTTAATAATTCAAAATAGATATTGCAATTATGGGGGAGCACCATAGATTCTTAAGGTATTAAATTATGTTGCTACAGAATGGTACAGAAGTCCTTTCCCTTGCACTATATTTTAACACAGGGATGACTATCTTGTAGTTCTCCAGATGTCATTGTTGTTGTTTTTGCTATTGCTGTTGTTGTTGAACTTCATCTTTCATCATTCTTCTTCCTTGGCCATGATGACTTAGGCTAATGGTGTTTCGCAGTTTCTAGAGGGCTTTAAAAAACAACAACATGCACGTACAGTACTTTTTTTGAAATAATTAGGATCTTTTGTCCAAATTCAATCACTATCAATATTTGTTTCTCTGAGTTAGCAGATGTCCTACTGATCTTATTTAGCTTCACACTTTTTCAGAACACTTGACCTGATGAGATCTTAGCCCATTATTTATTAGATAATCATGATTTCATATCTGCTGTTACTTATAAATAAAATAAGTGACTTTTAGGGAATGGCATTTTTCTTTTTAAGAATTTGGCATAGGAAAATAAAAAAAATGTAAAAAAACGTTGTACTTTCTGCACATATTTTCTCACAGTTGGGGAATTGTTCTTGTAGAATTGCCCACTCAAGACCAAATTTCATGAAGAGGCAATCTGACATTATAGCATTTATGTGATTCAGCAGGGTTAGCAGGCAAAATTCTATATTTTATCCCAATTCATTATTATTGTATTATAAAGTTATTTCTCTTTTTTCTTACTTATAGATACGTGTGCCTAAACAAGAATTAAAAAAACCAGTAAATTAGATAATATTTACAGATAATAGGTTTTATAAGATTATTTCACTAGATCAGCTCAATGGGTTTTTTGATTTTTATATATATAAACATTTAATTTTTTGCACTGGTCACTTACCATAATAAAGAGGTTATGTAGCGCGTGTGCATGTGTGTGTATGTGTGTGTGTATCAGATTTTGCAGCTATTAAGCCTCTCTGAATTTTCCCTTGAATTCCTTATTTTCCTTTCAGAAATTGGTCCTATAACCATTACCGCAGATCCTAAGAAATTTCAATATGAACTCAGAGAATTATATGTTCAGGTGAGTGGATTATTTCTTTAACATCAGTTTCACAGAAGGAGTGAAATATCAGACTGTTTCCTATCAGCCTGCATGGGGGAGGGGTTAATTGTATAAGCTTCACTGTATTAGATGAAAAGCTCCAGGATATATTAAACTTCAGGAAAGTTTAATTCCTGTGTTCCTAGCTTAATACATGCAGGAGTTTTCTGTGTCAAGGCATTTTAAAAGGTGATTTACTATCTATATCTACATTCTAAAGTAATGCAGTTAATTTGTAACTGTAAAGCAGAATGCTGTAATATTCTCCATTTAATTATTTTTATTATTTTATTTATTATTTTTCTCTGGCATAGCATAGGAAGTTACCTAATTATCTAGGTTAATTCATATATTGTGACTGGTTGGAAAGTTCCAAGTGTCTCAATTTTGGGGGTGGATTCTAGAACAAACCTCAGTTGAGCTAGAGAGATCTACAGAATGAAGATAAAGACAACCTCACTCAACGTGATCTCTCCAGATGCTGACTGCAGATGGGGGGGGGGCTTAAAATGCAACATGTCTAGAATATGATACATGATGTTAGGAAAGACTTGAGTTGAAAGGAGTGGGTTTAAAGCTCATGTCATACACTCCAAAGAGAATAGTATCTTCAGAGTTGTAACCATTACTGAAACTATGAGTTCTCAGTGCTCAAAGCATCGTGTTAGCAGTTGGAATAAATAGGATTGTGCAAGGCATTATTGGATGGGAAAAAGGAGCGCAAAGGACTCTTCCTTCCCTCCTCTATCCACAGTATAAATCAATTAATGGATGGGTTATTTGTATGCTGGAAGGAGAAGCTGGACTTAATCAAATTTCCTCCCCACAAAATAATGGGTAGGAAACAAGGCTTAGGTAACTATTAGTCTCTACATGATTTTCATTAACTTGATGAGAGGCAAAAGGAAAAATGTTTATTTCCCTCAACCAGCTGATTTCTGAAGTAGCCTTCCCCAACCTTTAGAATTCTAGTGGGCTTTGTAACCCCTGACACACTAGAGCACCAGGTTAGGAAAGGTCATTTTAAACTAGGGGTCTCCAAACTTGGCATCTTTAAAACTTGTGGACTTCAACTCCCAGAATTTCTCAGTCAGCCATGCTGGCTGGGGGATTCTGGGAATTAAAGTCCACAAGTCTTAAAGTTGCTAAGTTTGGAGACCCCTATTATAATCCATGCTTTATTGCTTTCTGCCACCAAGCTTTTTGATTGTTTAATGTGAGTTGCTACAATGAAGGATTCAGACATGGGGCTGCATCCAAGGTTCCATAGAAATGCAAATGATTTTACTTCTTCTTTCTTCCGAATCTTCTGGATCAGGGATGTCAAACTGCTGGCCTCCAGGCTGGGCACATCACGTGGAAGCCATGCCCACCCCATTGCCAGCAATGGCAAAACCGTCCCGATATGTTGTACGATGTCATGTGATGTTGCGAGTTTGATATGTCTGTTCTGGATTGTCCCAACTGATCCATCACTTAAAATATCATAATTTTTAAAATGCAAGATTAAACATAAGGAATTGTTTGCTAAAATACTTGTTTGCCTGGCTCTGGAAGGACATCTTCTTACGTGCCCAAAATACATACACACTGAGGTATGGGAAGGGGAACAAAAGAAAAACATGACTTAATAAAATAAAAAGGCATCATTATAACTTTACAGCAATGAGACATATTTATGCCACAGGGAAGGAAAAAATGTATGTTTTTCATTAGTTAGGAGGGTAAAGAATTAGTGTCATAATTTAATATCAAATGAAGTAGTGGAACATTTTTTTTTCCAAAGGAGGTTTTCAAATAATGTTCACTGCAGAAGTTTTGGTGATCAAATACAACAGCTTAATTGAGTGGGGTTATTTCAGGATATGTCCTATATGTTCCTGGCAATAATAAAAATAAAAGAGACAGAAACAATATAATTATGTTGTGGTAGAAAGTTGCTAAAGACAAGGAAGCTAGTTTAAAATATATTCACAATGGGCATATTAATAATCCTATCCTTCTCCAGTCTGGCAGCTTTGGGTTGTAAGAGTCATACGAAAGCACTGAATATGTTGACTGAATGGGTATTAACACAGTTGCCAATGAAAAACCAAGCCCAGAGAACTCCTGTACCTCAACACTCCAAACCTTAGTTAAATCTACTTTATACAATCATAATCTGACCCTTTCTTGATGCATTGGGCTATCTTTCTCATCATCAACATTCAAGATCAATTTTGAGGAAGTCAGGCAGAAAATCTGCTTTGAAGCTATTATTATACTGAGGCATGCTATACTGAGTAAGTCAAAAATAGAATATAGTATTCATTTTTGTGTATTCTGACATCCTAATATAAAATTTCTGCATTTTGGAACACTAAATAAAAAAGGGAAAAATTAAATAAAATCAATCATGGTAAATTATTGTTTTAAATTTCTGGAATGCACTTCTAAATTCAATTTCCTTTGCTGAGGACTGATTTAAGGAATCAGTCCATTAAGAGAATAAGTAGGTCCATAGGAATTACTTTGTTGGATTTAGAAGAAAAATTTTATTTTTATAACCATAACTTCTAAAAGCACGTGGTGAAAACATATATACTACAGACAATTATTTTCTTTTGCCATTCACCTACAGGAACAGAACATGGGAGATTCATTTCAGAATCACAGATAATTGTCATTGCCAAACTTATTTTAAAGTTACTTTGGGGGGGGGAATCTTGCACTCCTCTTCTCTTTGTAACACATTTTCTATCTGTCCTGTTCATAATCGCATCATGAGATTGAATACATGAGTCATGTATTCAATCTCATGATGGGATTGTGAACATGAGTCATTGGTATACATGCATTTCTGAAAAAGCAAGCTTCTGGAGAGTTTCACTAGATCAGAATGGAGCAACAACTGACTCGTAGATTAATCTCTATTTACATGTAGTACAGTAAGAGTAGGGAGTTGATTGGCTAAATTCCTGAACAAGAATCTCCATGAATTTAATAACAGAACTGGAAGGGACCTTGGAGGTCTTCTAGTTCAACCCCACCCCAAGCAGGAAACCGTATGCCATTCCAGACAAATGATTGTCCAATCTCTTCTTAAAAACCTCCAGTGTTGGAGCACCCACAATTTCTGGAAGCAAGTTGTTCCACTGATTAATTGTTCTAACTGTCAGGAAATTTCTTCTTAGTTCTAGGTTGCTTCTTGTCCTGCCTTCAGGTGCTTTGGAGAATAGCTTGACTCCCTCTTCTTCGTGGCAACCTCTGAGATATTGGAACACTGCTATCATGTCATGTCTAATCTTTCTCTTCATTAAACTAGACAGACCCAATTCCAGCAACTGTTCTTTATATGCTTTAGCCTCCAGTCCCTTAATCATCTTTGTTGCTCTTCTCTGCACTCTTTCTAGAGTCTCAACTCCTTTTTTTATATTGTGTCAACCAAAATTGGATTCAATCTTCCAAGTGTGATCTTATAAAGGCATTATAATCAATGAGCTTTCCAGGAAAAATTGGTTCTTTTTCATTTTCTCTATGAACAGTGTGTCTGAGGACAAAAGGAAGAGCTAAACTCCTCCCTCTCCATGAAATGAAGTCAAATAATTCAGGATGTGGGCAGAAATTTAACTTGCAATGGTAACCTCTATGGACTTCTAATGCTATATTGCTATATTGGATGAGTCTACCTATGGCTCTTCCTTTCATACTTCCTGTTCTGAATCCCCATTTTCTTAATCTTTATCTGTGGTCTTCCCTTGCTGTGATATTTCTTTATATATTTTAAATGCTGTTTGAACAAGGTACTTTTCAGGGACAGAGATAACCACTCTACTCCAAGGTCTGGGAGAAAACACTTTTGGAAAATTAGAAGGCCAGCTGTAACTGGGGATTATAATCTGGTAACATGTCTTAGAAAGCCTCAACATCTCCAAAATGACAATCCGATTCAGGCTGAAGATGTCCTTGAGTTATCCAGATAACCCAGAAAGGAGAAGATGTTTTTCCTTCTTTTGGTCTTCTTTCTATAAAGATATTTAAGGGCATAAATAAAAAATGGTGGCAGCAAGTCTCTGTTGTAAGCAATGACTATGCATTGTCCAGGTTGAATTTGGGAGATCCAGCAGTAAAGCAGCCTTTTATACTTTGCTGTTGGCTTTGCTGGGTGTGACTAATTGGAAATGAAGACAAAACATCTGGTAAATATTAAATTGAATATTTAGGATGCCAAATTTTAACCTAGAAGATTTTTTTTTGAGTCGTGTGTTTAAATGGTGTACATGAAAATCAACTGTTATTTTTAATCATTTTGTTTCTAAAATGGGAAAAACAGGAGAAACCAAAAAAAGGCTTAAGAAGATGAGGCTTTTAAGGAATAAAATAAAACATATACAACATTAGGAGTCAAGATAATATGGTAATTTATCAAAGCAATGTTTTCTTATAGCAGCAGGAAAAAATAATAGAGCTTATATTAATTTCCCCCCAAAGACAGAAAACCATTGCCAGTTCACATGAATCAAAAAACAAAACAAAAACACATTTCCTTTTAAAACATTCTTCCGCCATGTTAATTCTAGCTGCTAGATTTTTTTTTTTTTTGGCTTGGCTTTCCATTGGAAAATCAGAAGCTACATTTTGAAGTATCAGTGCTTCCAAACAGAGTAATGAATCAAGTTGTAATATATAGAATTTAGCTAATGAGCAGTTTTTATTGATTCTTTAGATGTGTTTCCTTCAAATGATCTTTCAGATAGGCTAGTGTTAAAAGCAATTAAAACTAGAAAATAGAATGCATTAGTAACTTGCAAAAATATTGTTACATCCACAGCCTTAGAAGTACAGGAAGAAAAACCTTATTGTGTAAATTATAGTATTAGGATTGGAATTTTTGTAACCTCTTTATCTTTCAGATTGATTTTGATTTAGGTCTCTTTGTTCATTTCTCTGTTTGCCATAGGGAGGTGGTGACTGTCCAGAGATGAGCATTGGGGCCATCAAAATTGCTCTAGAAATTTCTCTTCCTGGTTCATTCATCTATGTATTTACTGATGCCCGGTCCAAAGATTATAAACTGACTCATGAGGTCTTGCAGCTCATTCAGCAGAAGCAGTCCCAGGTATGAGTCCTCTTGTAATACTGCCTGTTCCAAACCACACTACAACTGTCCTATGAAATATATATTCTGTATACAAAAGGTGGGCAGTGCTATACTATTCTATTCAGAAATAAATCTTAGTATATGAGGTTGATTTTGTTATTGTATGAATATTGTGACTGTTTATTATATCTTTGTTGTGAGCTGTTTAAAAGGCAGAATGATTGAAATGGCATAAAACTTCCTTCCTTCCTTCCTTCCTTCCTTCCTTCCTTCCTTCCTTCCTTCCTTCCTTCCTTCCTTCCTTCCTTCCTTCCTTCAAGATTGCTGTCTAATATATCCTCAATTGGGAGGCAAATCAATGGTATAGCTCAGGGTTAGGCAACCTTGGCTCTTTTATGACTCATGGATTTCAACTCCCATAACTGGCTCAGGAATTCTGGGAGTTGAAGTCCACGAGTCATAAAAGAGCCAAGGTTGCCTACCCCTGGTATAGCTAATTCCGATGAATAATAATGAGGCTCAAACTATATTAATCTACGATTTTCTCTTATACATCTTATAATTTCTATGATTCCAATTTCTATGATTCCATTGATGATATTAAGGAAAACATTTGCTTTCCCCATGTAAAGTTATTGCTAATTCTGATGCTTATTTATCAAATTCATGTAGCCAAAATACCCTCACCTGTGCCAAGAATGAAAATAGCCACAGCTTGGCAGATCCATAAGAATGGAAGAAGTTAAAATGAAAATTAGATGAAGCCAACTTCAAAACAATCCAATTAAGACTAAGCATGCTCAACCAAGGGATGTAAGAGAGGATGGAAAAATTGATATGGCTGGATCAGGATATTCCACATTCTACTGTTTTCTTGCAAGGGCTTTTGTATGTGTGTTTGTGTGTGTATTGTGTTGTGTGTGTGTGTAGTAATTTCTTGGACTTTCTAGAATGCTGAGCCAAAAAGCTAAATCCCTTGAGCTGTCGGACAGCTCCTGTTGTTCTGGTGCTATTGATCAAAGTTGGAAATCCAGCTGCAATTCAGACTACAAAACATAACCTGGAAAATGCAGCCAGAGAGGAAGAAAAATCCTAGAAAGTCTCTTGAAAACAAGAGACTCTAGTTGCAACTTTTTACCTCTTCATTCAAATAGACCTTTAATCTGACAATTCCAGCAGTTATTTCGTTAAACAAAGTAAAACAAAAGCAAAAATTTGTCTAGGCGAGACGAGTGGCATATAAGTTTAATAAGTAAATAATACATACATTTGACTATAAATTAAAATTTGTAATTACATAATATTTAACATTAATAATTAACATTTGACATATTAATGTGGTCTGCCATTTTTCATTGTTATGAAATGTATTGCTACTTGTTTTGAAATTGAAGGTATTTATAATTTTTATCTCTTTAATATTATAGTGCATAGTTTTCTTCCACTGGCTGATTTCTGATGATCTGGTTTTCTTATTTTCATATGAAGACTATTTAAATAACCATCTTTTTTTAAAAAAAATCACGCAGATTGTATTTGTTCTAACCGGAGACTGTGATGACAGAACACATACTGGTTATAAAGTCTATGAAGAGATTGCTTCAACAAGTTCTGGTCAAGTTTTTCACTTGGATAAAAAGCAAGTTAATGAGGTAGGATGGGAGCTTGTCTTGATAATCTAATTTTGTTTTTTAAAATGGAATATAGGCTAAATATTTAATTTCCTGAATTTCGTGTCTGTGTGTGTGTGTGTGTGTGTGTGTGTGTGTGAGAGAGAGAGAGAGAGAGAGAGAGAGAGAGAGAGAGAGAGAGAGAATTTGTGAATTAATTAGGCTTGGAGATAAAACTAAATAAACCCAGGATTTATTTGGGAGGTGCAAATCAAATCAGCTTGCAGTAGAATCCACTAAAATTAAATCATTAAGCATCTGTTTTTTAATAATTACTCAAGGGCATTGAACTGACTTCATGATGGAAGAGAAATTTGAATCTATTGTAAATGTCTTTAAAAAAACCCTAATTGCTAGAGAATGATTTTTTTTTCCTCCTGGGAGGGTAAAACTTGCATCTGTGGCAGATACATGGAAGATGTAAAAAAGTACTTAGTTTCTTATGGGGTGGGGAGTTTCTATGAGAAGGGAGACCCAGATTTGAATCCAGACATAGCCACGATAACTAACTAACACTCTCAAAAATTCATTTATTTTATTAGGGTTATTGTGGGAGAAAATAGATATGGTGTGTGTGCCATTTTGAGTTCTTCAGTAAATCTAATAAATACATAAATATAAATCTAATAAATACATAAAAGAATTAAGAAGCACCACAGAACTTCAGATGCTCTAACTATGACATTTTATATCTTTTTTGTTTTTCTATTCATTTTCAACTTCTTTTCCGTTCCTGTGCTTTTTGCCTTTTCTTTGATATCTTTCTTTTTCTTTTTTGCTCCTAACTTTATATTAATTTGTATCAGTTTTTATCTTCTTGTTTAAAAGTTTTAATAAAAAATATATAGAAAAATATATTGGCATTGTGTCTTGACTTTATTTTATTCAAAATGCCGGATTCCCTGTTAGAACAGAAATCCTTTTCAAGAGGATATATCTAGATTTATTTATAAGAATTATTTTGTTTAATTATGACAATTGTTATATAAAAATAATTAGGAATAAATATACTGGAAAAAGTTCAAATAGAAATAGAATATAATGATTTTGCTAATAAATTCTTTATGGAAACTCTGTTTTCTATAATATCTTTGTTTATAGCATGTAAAGAAAAACAGTTTTATTTCCCCATCTTCTTATATCTCACTTTTCTTGTTTTCATCAAATGTCAGTTTGCTTGTTCTCCCCATCAATAGGGTTTATTTTTTAAACAATTTGTATTGGCTTTAATATAAAGAAATAAAGAAAAAAAAGTACAAAACAAGATGAAGAATAATAATAGGATAGTGGACGTAGCAGTATTTGGAGCAGAATAGAAGAGAAACTGGAGAAGATAACAAAATACAAAGACTTGCAAATAGAATGACTTTGGCAAAAGAAAACAAAGATAATTCCACTAGTAATAGGTGTCTTGGGTACAATCCTAAAACATATGGATTGCCACTTGAATACCATCAGCACTGACAAAATCAGTAATTTGTAAAAGGAAGTAATTTGGAATAGGTCAGATCCTGTGACGATACCTTTAATGCCATCAAACAGCAACATCTGCTGACTCCAAGTCCTTGGAGAGGATTCTCATCAAAATACTTGGTTGACTGTACAACTAACCATAATAAATATAATAACAATAGTACCACAAACCTCCAACGTTAACCCCAAGCTTGGGACCGGAGCCAGGTCTTAAGAGCCTTCCAGAACCCCAGGAGAGTAGATGCCACTGTTCTTGAGTAGGCTCACCACCACTTTCTTTAGGGCCAGGGAGACAAACCTTCTCTTTTTTTATTATAACAATATTTTATTAAGTTTTATAAGGGTAGGGTAGGATAGAGTCAATATAGGTATTGGGGTTCAGGGTAAGGTTCAGGGATGGGGTTGGGATAAGGGTAGATACAACAATGGGATTGCCCCCAGTAACATTTCCACGCTTTAGCAAGCAGACTATTGTCCGGATACAAATATTCAATAACGATAATTAATATGATAGTAAATAGCTATGGTCAATAAGAATAACAGTGATCATAAAGAGTATCAGTTAATCAGTAAATATCATTCATCTTGTTAAATTTCACAATCATTTCTCGCTAGTTCGTTTTGCTAACCATTGATAAAAAATTTCCCAAGTTTTAAAATAGACTGAATCTTCTTTTTTTTAATCTCTAGGGTTAGTCTGTCCATTTCTGCACATTCTGAAATTTTCCTAATTATGATCTCATCAGATGGTATATTTTCATTTTTCCAATATTGGGCAAATGCTATTCTCGCAGCTGTCAATACATGTAATATTAAATATTCTTTCTCATAATTGGATCTTAATATTCCTAACAAAAACAGTTCTGGCTTAAATGCTATCTGTATTTTAGTCATCTTTTCCAGCCATGTATGAATCTTAAACCAAATTTTTTTTGCACTAGGACATACCCACCAGATATGGTAATAAGTACTTGGCTTTTGTTTACATTTCCAACAATTATTCGAAACATTTTTAAACATTTTCACTAGTCTTACTGGTGTCATGTGCATCTATAAAATAAGTTTTTATATAAAACTTTATATAAGTTTTCTTTATATGAAGCTGCTTTAGTCAGTTTAATATTTCTACCCATAGCTTTTGCCAATCTTCTAAGTCTATAGAATATCCACAGTTTTTTGCCCATACTATCATTGTTTCTTTTACTTGTTCTTCTTCCATCTTCCAATTTAGCTGAAATCTATAAAGTTTCTTAATCAAGTTTTCATCTGTTTTCAAGAGTATTTGGTCAAATTCTATCGTTCTTTATAAAAATCCCATTGTCTTTACATCTTTCTCATATCTTGTTGGGATTTGCAAATAAGGCCACCATGCTAAGTCAATACCTTGTTGTTGTAGGTCTTGCCTATCTTTAAGTTTTCCATCCTTGTCCAAAATGTCTTTGTAAGTAACAAGTTTGTCGTAGTTAATTAAATTTGGGTAAGCAAAAGCTTCCATTGTTGAAAGCCACTCTGGTATTTTTTTTTTTTTGTTTTATTCTCTCCCATTCTAAAAACAGTACATTCCTTATACCATGGTTTTGAAAATATCTGTGTATTTTATTTTTCCCATACCACAGGAAGGCATGCCAACCCAGTTGTAGGTCATGCCCCTCTAGGTAGAGAAGTCTTTTATTTCTCAACATTATCCATTCTTTGAGCCAAGATAAAATGGACAAAAATGCCAAATCTTGGTTGACTGTACAACTAACCATAATAAATATAATAACAACAGTACCACAAACCTCCAACGTTAACCCGAAGCTTGGGACCAGAGCCAGGTCTTAAGAGCCTTCCAATACCCCAGGAGAGTAGATGCCACTATTCTTGAGTAGACTCACCATCACTTTCTTTAAGGCCAGGGAAACAAACCTTCTCTTAAAGAGGATAATAAAATACCAGTCCATGGACCTATCTCTTGGTCATCTCCTGGGCTTCCTTAACAACACAGGAGGGACCAGGATCTACAGATAGGTGGATGAACTAACAGATTGGATGAAATTGTCCACTTCCTTGGGCATCACAGAATTGATTTCAGTCCAGATAACCACATAAGACCAGTGATGGCGAACCTTTTAGAGACCGAGCGCCCAAAAACTGGCCCTGTGCCTGCTCCACCCCCTGCCCCACCCCCCATCCCCCGCACCACCTGCCCCCAGGGCCACTCACCGCTTCCAGGGCCCGCCACAGATCGCCCAGGCAGCCCAGCAGCGTTATGGTGGTTACACCCTCTGCCCGTGCCCTGCAGTATCAACAATGCACAATGGGGTGTGAGGGCAGAGTCTTGTCTATGCTGCCTGGCTGCCATGCCCTTGGCTGCGCTGCTCCGCATGGGCCATGCTCAGGGGCGACTTTCCTTCAGGGGGGCTGCTGGAGAGGAGGGGGTCACGGCACGTGTGCCCACAGAGAGGGCTCTGAGTGCTGCCTCTGGCACCCATGCTGTAGGTTTGCCACCACTGACATTTATTTATTTATTTATGAGACTTATATACCGCTTTAAGTGCAAGCACTCTCTAGTAAGCAATGAATATATATATTTACATTGCCCCCAACAATCTGGGTCTTCATAGACATAAGACTATGCCTTGGGCAATTCACTTATACTTGCCTAGTGAAATACATTCTCAGATATATGGAAAAAACATTTTTTAAACATTTTAGCCTTGACCACACAAAATAATATTGGCAGTCTCTTATATCAGTAGAGAGCCAATTCATAAGCAGAGGCGCAACAACCCAATGTGGTAATATTGGAATAGCATTGTTTTTCCATTATAGTAGAATAATATATCCCAAGGTTGGTGTAAGGACCCACCCCACTTTGCATCTTAAGAAGACAGAACTCTTGGAATAGCTCTTCCAACAGGAATCCTTTATTAAGAGAAAATGGTTGCAGGCATGCTAGACAGGACTTGGGGTTCAAGCTCTCCCATTCAAGGTTTTAAGGGGTTCCCCAGTAGTCCCACCCAATCAACCCCCCTTCCAGTGATAGTTTCAAGTATCACAATTCCATCCCCTTTCTTCTTCCGTCTGGATGGAGACTTCAGATAACTACATGAAAGGCAATTACTCTTCTTTGATATGTTAAAGCTTAGAGGCCACAATAAACACACATTCAGTCCTTTGAAGTGTGCTGAAGGAAGTGAGGGCCATAAAGCCCCTTTGCTCTCCCCCTTTTCTCCCTCTTATGGCAGAATCCAGAGAAGGCAGAATTGGGAGTTTCTATGTTTGATAATTAAAGATGAAATATAATTGGATTCTGACATCCGGCCCCTCTTAACAATAAGAGAGATCCACCTGAAAGAAAACACAAGTAAAAAATTTAGTTAGGCTTGTTAGGATACTCTGTGTGAAACTTCTTCAATAGCTTCGGGGCTCTGACGTGACGTTTATGGACCCACTCATTTTGTGAGGCAGGGAGGTGTTTCCAGGCAACTAGGTACTGAGTTGTTCCACGATATCTCCTAGAGTCA